GTAAAAAATGTCATTTCCATCATCGGCTCTGCTGTCATAGCTACAGTTCTTGTGAACAAACTATTACAAGAGAAACCCTTATAATGTGCAACTGAAATGTGAATTATCTTCTCCAATATGGTCTATTTCCACTAATATCTGCTTATCATAGTATGAAATATGCATGTTAAGCAGCTAATGAAAATTATTCTTTTTTCTAATGAAAACTGGAAACTTTCATAACTTTTCATTCGTGACCCCCCTCATCCAAAAGTAATGGATGTTTTGATGGATAAGTATTGGAATGGGAGAAAAGGGTGGGGGGGGGGGGGTCCTGCACCCAATGTGCAAAATAAAGATTCCTTGGCAACTGGACATTGTAAAGCATGGGAATACATTTTCATTTCCTTATCGATATAACTGATCAAGATATAGTACGCAAATCTCCCAATGTCAGTTTAGAGCAAGAGAAAGGACTATAGCATATCTTAAGATTAATATATGCTTATTCACAAAGGCAGATTTCTAGCGCAGCAAGACGTCCCCTAAAAAATGTACATCAAATCATTTGACATGACATAGGCTATCACAACTTGATAATACCAGTTGTGCAGACGTCAAAGTTTTTTCAAAATTATGACTTTTTTTTAAAGACCATGTGACATATCAAAACTACAACCAAGAACAGTTAAGAAGTGTGGAACCTTAATGACTGAGATAATTTGTAAATCATGATATTTTTACTATTAAAAAGAGCATTTCAACATAAAATTCTGAGGCTTTTGCATATGCTTTTAATGTTCTTTTATTACAGCCTTGTATGATGGGTAATATGGTCTTTCTTAAAGTTCTTTATGATGATGAACTTGTGACGCATTACAAAGTGGATTAGAGGGAACGAAACAAGTGACATAATTACTGTGTGTTGGTGATACACAGCGTGCAGTGCCCTACTGTCATCACACGGTTAGGGTTTGGGTTAGGTTTAGGGTTAGGGTTAGGGTGTGGGTTGCTACTATGAGTTTGTGCGAAGACGAGATGCGGTGACACTAACCGTAACCCTAAGCCACACCCTAATCCTAACCCTAAACCTAACCCACACCCTACTCCTAACCCAAACCGTAACCCTATGATTATTGCAGGGCAGTGCACGCTGTCTATTGCCAACACACAGTAATTATGTCATTTGATTCGTTCCCACCTTTCGACCCCGTAATTGCACTGCAGCCAGGGGACAGAACGACTAACCGGTCGTCTACTGTTGTCTACCGGCCGTAGTTGACAGGAGAGCCACTTATTCAGATGCATAGTTCCCATTAAGGGACCATGTGCGTTTCCTGTGCGAGTTCTTGGGCAGCATTCTGAGGGCAAAACAGAACATACACTCTGCCTCCTAAAAAAGCATGCCCTGAAAGAGGTTTGCTGAAAAAGAATGTGTTGGTGTCCCAAGCGCAGATATCAGAGCTCGGCGGTAAACCACAACACAATGTCCCCACCACACTTATCCGGGTGAAAGCGAAAGAAGACCGTGTGAGAAAGTAAAACCTCTACACCCCAAGGTAGAAGAGGAGCGACTAAGTGAGAAAGTAAAGCACACAAGACTTCCAACTGCTGCAAAAGTCAGTTCTTCTTCAAGGTGAGCTGGTGTTGCCAGTCACTTGTGCCACTGCCAGGAGATGCTATTCCCATAGCACAATGTAAGACTACTGTGTGGCAAGAAGGAACGGTGCCAACAACAGACAAACAGATGCAAAAACCAACAACAAGAATCATGAATAAAGTTTACAAATGCAATCATACTGTCATGACAGATGACCTGACAAGGGTTTATCATAACTAACCATGCTCACATAAAAACTGAAGCACACTACTGACATGGCAGATAATTTTTGCTTGTAGAAAACAGCACAGAAGTGACACACAAGGCAATTGTGCTCAGATGTTTTACTGAAGAAAGATGAATTGTTAACTCTTTCAGCAGCAGACACACAGGGGAAAAGAAAGGATAGATGATATACTATCAAACTGCGACTGGTACTATCAAAATATGAATTCTATGCTGGCTGCTGCTGATGAGGAAGAAGTGCTTATGGGAATGTGTTGAGTGTTGCGATGTCAGTTTTAAACTCAATTCATCTAAATAGCAAGTAGTAACAATGTTTATCTAAATGTTTGTGTACTTTAAAGTAGCAGCCTTTTGAGTCTCAGTCAATCCAAATAAATAGAGAGGTTCTGAAAAGACAGAATAAAAAGAGAGTTGCTGAAATAAATAAAAAAGAGACAACTGAAATATTTCAGCCACATTGAAAAACATAATATTCTTTCAAAAGCCATATTGGGGGAAAAACTGAAGGCAAGACAGCAAGAAGTAGACAGTGGCAGAAGAGGGAGGACAATGTCAAGAGATGGACGAGCAGCTCCAGAGACCAGGACAAGAGAACAAGAGTGTACTGGAGATTCACTGTATGCAACCTTCATCGTGGAGCCGGCACTTGACTGATTGAATTGAAGCAGTAGATGAGTTAAAATATCTACAGTGAGAGAGCAGCTCAAATCAACAGACAGATGGGACACAAGTTCAGCTACTTATACCATGCACAGAATAATCAATAAACATGTGATAAGTTGCTGGTACTGGTGCTCATGGGGGTCCCATTTTTTTTTTTGGGGGGGGGGGGGGGGAGGAATAGACCCCTGCCCCCCAACAAGCATGTCATACAAGGCAACCAATTAAGGGTGTTTCCCTCAAAGCCAGAGGGTATCTTCCTGAGAGACAAGGATCTAACAGTCGGCATACAAACAAGCCAGATCTGTGAAATGGATGTGCAAGCAAAACTCAAGTTATGAAACAAGACCAACATCCACATGTGGACAAACGACCAGAATTTTCAGTTAAAGTTTCTAGCATCCTCTGATAGGATGAAGAAGCTAATACTGAGAGACATTTCAGTGGGATTTTTCTATGTTGGTCATGATATTTCTGTCTCACTGAGTTGTCACATGTAGTTGATGTTAAAGTTAGTTTCTCTTAACATATTTCTACCTTGCAATACATAGCCCCAAATAAATGTCTGGCTCAATTCTTCTTCATCAAACGGAACTCAATGGTTGATGCAACAGCTTCATGCCAAAAATGGAACTTCCCAGAAATTACCCGGTATCCTTGTTATGAGGCTGAGCTGACTCCACTGTCATGCAGGTCACACAAAAATCCAAACAAGCGAAGCATTTAGCACAGGACCGCAGGGTCTGCATGCAAGAACAATTGCCACAATGTTACAGAAGCCAAATAAAAATGACACATTGACACAAAAATGCCACTAGAAATTAACAGCTGCAAAGAAGACAAACCAGAAGACAAACCACACACGTTTTTGGTAAATAAAAAACAAATGATTGAATTTCCAAAGGAAACGGAAATGTATAAAGGCCAAACTGTGCAAAACGTAAATAAATAAGTCAACATAATAATAAACAAATTTTAAAAATAAAACACTTAGCTGCATTTGTACAAACATACGGTAAAAGAGAAAAATAAATACTGACACAAACAGAACTGAACATAAATAAATCTGTTATTATGATTACAAAATCTCTCCAGATGTTTCCGACAGCCAAACAGTGCTATTACCTAGTGTTGTCTAATCTATATAACGTACAACACATATCAACTCTTTCACATCAGTTTACCATTCCACAATACGCTTCTACAATTCCATACAGCCTTGAGACACAAGGATACAACAATGAACTGACATATTGTAACCCTTTCACCTCAGAAACCTTTTGGGGGGAAAAAGACCCAGACCCTAAAAAAAAAAAAAAATTTCGACACAGCTGACTGAGAGAAAAAAAATGTTTATGTAAATTTTACTTTTTTAAAAGAAATATATCAAGGGAAATAATCAATGTACATAAATCATCATCATCATCATGTAGCAGGTTTTTTGTAGAACGTCGCTCTCATTACGGTCTGCCTGAAAGAAACTCAGTCTCTCGCTAGCTTTCCCGCCTCATGCACTTTCATACTCATATATGCACTTATATCCTGTGCCCATCTTTGTGTTGCAAGGCCTCTGCCCCTCCTTCCTGGTATCATGCCTTCTGCTTTAACTTTTTCCAATCCATTATTTCAGCTTCCTATATACATAAACATCGGCTCTGTGCCTAAGTCGATGCGAACGCTTCGTAATGCTGGGATGCCTGGTTCAATCCCAGCTGCGGGCCATGCGCCTTGCGTTGGTTTCGACAGTGATATCAAGAGAGCTGACCGTCCAGTAAGCAATGGCAAACTACTGGAGGTAAATTTGCCTAGAAAAACCACGCAACAGTCAGGGGCTGTTGGGGTTGGTTCTGCAACATCCTGTAAAGGATACGCAACTAATCATATACATAAACAGAGCAGAGAATTCTATGGAATACATGTCCTTGGGCCTAATAAAATGAACAGGGCTCAACATACTGGGACCCCGTCACTGTTTGGCGAATAGTGAAGGCCAAAGGCAAATTCTGATGCTATATTGGCTTTGAAAAGCCATTCCCTAACCCATTGGCTCTCAGCCTTCCTAAGGCTGTGATCCTTTAATACAGTTCCTCATGCTGTTGTGACCCCCAACCATCAAAATTATTTATGTTGTTACTTCATAACTTCAGTGAATGTGTTTTCTGATAGTCTTCTGCGACACCTGTGAGAGGGTCATTCAACCCCCAAAGGGATCACACGACCAACAGCCCTAACCACACCCCCCCCCTCCCCATGTGTAATGGACAACAATGTCACACTGGTGGCATCTTGAGGTGAAAGGGTTAAATTCAATTAAACAACTTTTTAAAAAAAGCTGTTCACCTCTGACAGCGACAGGACAGGCAGGTCAATTATGATTTCAAGTTAGAAGCAGTGGAGGAGTAGAGGCAGTAAGAGGAAGAAAACATTCAGGGACACATGAACTGCTAGAAGAAAAAACACATGACTGTACACAAAACTAGTGAGCCCTGCAGCTGCTTTACCCAAGATTTTTCAGTTACACTTCCAAATACTCCCACTGATCTTTCTCGTATCCTTCATGGACGTGGTCTAGTAAAACGTTTCTTCGACTCTCACAGTATCTGCAGACAGAAGAATAATTACAAATAATACTGCTGTAATATTTATTTGAAAGAACAACCAAAAACAACACTGAATTTTATATCCAAATGCAGAAGAGCAGCAGGACAAGATCCAATGTCATTCTCTCTTTCCAACACTGTTTCATTCTGCTTTCTCTCGTTTTTCCTTTCTCTCTTGTTTTAACTCTTTCTCCCATTCTCTCTCTCGCACACATGCACGCACACACACATAGAGAAGAGAGAGAGAGAGAGAAATATAGAGAGAGAGAGAGAGACCATCACTACTACAGTGTCAAGAGATTATTCTCATTATTCTCCCTGCAGCTCCAAGAGTTACAGCATGCACTCAACTCAGTAGATAGGCAATGGAACTATGTCCTTTCAGTCTATATGTGGAGGAAAATGCAATGGTTAACAACTGTCAGAAGTAAAAACTTGCCTTGACTAAAGACAGTATAACTTCCTATCCACAATAATGAGCAGACGCCGCCCCCACTCACCCACCTTCCTTTTTTTTAAACAGAACAATCAACACCTTACTGGTTATGTGGTCAATATAATGCTGGCAGCCTTTATTTCCCATTTTAAGTGGGCCAACAGGGAAGTCAAGGTCAATTCTGAAAAGGAAAAAATCCACCTCAATGCAGATTTGATCCCTACACGTTGAGGCTGGTAGGTGAGTATCTAGCCAACACTGCTACAGCTGCTTCCAGGTCTGAATCATGGCAGGAAAGGATGTCCACATATTAATGGATACATTCTGTGGAAATTCCCAAAATGTGCAGATGCAAGAGCACCAATACCAGTTTGGCAGGTTATTTATTCTCTGCTTGGGTTCCTGGGCCCCAGTCTGCGGAAAAGATAACAGACCCACTGGCCCCCTAACAAGCATGACATTAAAGTAGGCTAATTAGGGTGTCCTTTAAAGTTGGCTAGCAGTGTCCGGTCTTAGGCGTTGCGAGTCCGACTCGTTATTCCAACATACTGCGATCAAAACATACTGCTGGCTGCGTGGATTTTTGTCGTATGGGGCGTCGCAGCTCGAAACAGCCTAAAACGGGTACCAGGATGGATGTCCTGGGGAAGTGAAGGTGGCCGGCATAATACTGACCACATTACCCACATAGTGATGATTGGTCTCTAAAACTATTGGTGCTCTTCCCATATGCCCGATGCGCCTAAGGGGTGAAAAGGGTTCTTTACTTACTTTACTTTACTTTATATCTGCCTGAGAGGCAAGGGATTTACAGTCTGCATACATTTAAGCACGATATCTAAAGGATGTGCAGGCAGAACACGTGTTCTGGAACAAGGCTCAAGTAAAGAACTGGATGAACAGCCAGAACTGTCCACTGGAGTTTACAGTCGCAGAAAACGAAGAAGAAGATCGCAAACATCAGAAAGAGACAAGTCATATTTCTGGGGCCACATTATGAGAAGAGCAAAACTAAAATATACTATACCAATAGAAACAACAACTATGAAAAGAGAAACAAAGAGAAGAGCTCTTTTAAATGCAAAGGCAAAAGAAAAAGAGGAGGATGCAGGTTCACTGTCCTAGTTCCTGCTACTTATCTGTCAGCATTCTCTAAATAAAAGTTTGAAGCTAGTTCTCACTGTGTGAGAAACCACTCACCTGTATTTATCTTGAACTTTCTGCTTAATATCTTGAAGTACTTCTGAGGAGATCTCTCTCTCCAAGTACTCAGACAACTGTTCAGTGGCATTTTCCAGGTCCTTCTGGTTGTCCTAAGAAAAGAAAAACAATCAGTGGTGGTGGTGGTGGTGCTTTGCTGGGAAAAAAATGGTCTCGTTCAACCAGCATCCCCGAAGGAACAGTGTTAGGTTATAATTTTGACTGTACATGTGGAAAGAGCTTCACGGGATTGCATGGTCTGAGAACGCATGCCGGAAGAATGAAATGCGAGGGTGCTCCATGCAGTAAACGCCGTCGCAAAACTACCACTCCTGTGGTAGTTTCTGAGTCGTCAGGGAACGACGGGCAGGGTGAACCCCACTCGCCCGGAGAGGCCCATGACGTCGACTGCGGAGGAGCACCTTTGATGATTTCTGAAGAAGTGCGTTCCAGGATCAGTTTTCCACCTGCGAGCGTGAAGGTGGTGTGGTGTAAGTTGGAGGCTACATTATGTGAGGTACTTAAACAAGATCTAAACAAGAAGTCGTTAGGCGACAAGCTTACGAAATTTGGTGATGTTATATATGAACACTGCTCCCGCGAGTTCGGGACAGTGCAGAAGGCACAGCCGGGTGCCAAGCAGAATACTTGCAGGAGGCAGAGGGACATTCTGAAGTGTCGGGCAGACAAGAATGCCCTCAGAAAACGGTTCAAAGCCGCTACAGGCAGCGAACAAGAGGGGCTGTACGAAGTTTGGTTGCATTTAAAGAACATACACAGTGTCCTCTGTCGCGCTGAGCGTTTCTGTAACAACAGACGAAGAACCAAAAGGGAGCGAGAGAAATTCTTTACGGACCCGTATCAGTTTGCCCGAGGTCTATTCGAGCAACCGAAGTCTGGGACTCTGGTTGTCAGTCAGGAAGAACTTGAGCTACATCTACACAAGATGTACTCTGACAAAAAGAGGAGAGAGCCTCTCGATGTCAATCCAGAGATCCTTAGCGGCCCTAAACAGCCTTCGGTGCCGAAGGTACCATTTAAAATGATACCTCCCCTTTGGTCTGAGGTTGAGGAAGTTGTGAAAAAGGCCAGCGGCAAGTCTGCCCCAGGTCCGAACGGTGTTCCGTACGTTTTTTACAAGCGCTCCCCGAAAATCCTAAAAATGCTTCACGTCTTGCTGAGACAAGCGTGGATCCGCAATCACATATGTCCAGAGTGGTCAAAGGCAAATGGGATCTACATTCCCAAAGAGCAGGACTCGAAGAGTCTTTCCCAATTCAGGCCCATCTCGCTGTTGAATGTCGAGGGTAAGATATTCTTCTCGGTCATGGCTCGCCGGCTCACACAGTATCTGATGACTAACAAGTACATAGATACGAGTGTTCAGAAGGGTGGTATTCCAGGCGTTCCTGGGTGCCTTGAACATGCGACCATGATTTGGGAGGCTATCCAGAGAGCCAAGCATGAGAGAACCGAATTGCACGTAATATGGTTGGACTTAGCCAATGCCTACGGGGCAGTCCCCCATAGGCTACTGTGGCGAGCCCTTCGTATGTTTCACGTACCGGCACAGATCAATCAAATGATCAAGCAATATTTCTCTAAGTTCGCTTTGCGCTTCTCTACCTCGACGTTTACCACGAGGTGGACTGAGTTGCAGATTGGGATAGCTATGGGCTGTACGATCTCACCCATACTGTTTGTCATGGCAATGCAGATCATGTTAGACGGGGCGGCCGGCTACGGACAGGGCCTTCAAATTTGGGACCACTGGATGCCGCCACTAAGCGCATTTATGGATGACACGACTATTATAACGGGCAGCGAGGAATCTGCCCGCGCGATCCTGAAAAGATTGGACGCGGTGGTCCAATGGAGCGGTATGCAGTTCAAACCGCAGAAGTCGAGGAGTCTGTCAATCCATAAGGGCAGGGTGTCGGCAACCAGTTTTACGGTGGCAAGGAACAAGATCTCCACGGTTCTGGGGGAACCGGTGAAGAGCCTTGGTCGCGTTTACGATTCGAAGTTATCTGATAGAGCGGAAGTCCGGCGAATACACGAGTCACTGGCTACAGGCCTGCTGGCGATCGAGCGATGCAGGCTGATCGGGAAATTCAAGGTATGGTGTCTCCAATTCATGTTGATTCCAAAGCTCCTATGGCCACTGTTAGTCTACGAGGTGACGATGACTGCAGTGGAAACCATGGAGAAGAAAATCAACACAGCCTTGAGAAAGTGGATTGGTGCACCGCCTTGTCTGACTGACGTGGCTCTGTATTGCAAGCAAGCTAAGCTGGTACTCCCGTTCAAATCGATAACCGAAGAGTTTAAAGTCAGCAAGGTAAGACTCGCCATGCTCTTGCGCGAGTCTTCAGACCCAAATGTCATCGCTGTCCAGCCCGCTCTAAAGACTGGCCAGAAGTGGAGGGTCCTCGATGCGATAGAATCTGCCCAGAACGCACTAAAATTGAAGGAGATAATGGGATACACTCAAACCGACCGTCGAGGCCTAGGGCACAGGAAGGTCAATTGGTGGTCAAAGGCCTCAGCCAAAGAGCGCCGCGACATGGTAATACAAACGGTGAGTGACAACGAAAACGAGGTTCGGGTCCAGAAAGCAGCCCAGCAGTCGCAGCAGGGCCATTGGGTCAGCCTGGAGAGCGCATTGCCAAGAGTACTCACATGGGGTGAGATCTGGCGGATGACCCCGCTGCGACTGAGCTTTATCGTTCGTTCGGCGTACGATGTATTACCGTCCGGTGTTAACATGGTTAAATCGTCTGCGACCAACGATCCGACTTGCCCGTTGTGTAAATCGAAGCAGACTCTAGAACACGTCCTGTCCGCATGCAGGAAAGCCCTAGGTCAAGGACGATATACCTGGCGACACAACAAGGTGCTAAAAGAGTTAGCAGCCGTTGTTGACCAGGCTAGAATGAGGGCCAACGCAAGGGCCAGTTCTAGCATCGTCCCCATTCGTTTCCTCAAGGCTGGGCAGGTTCAAAAAGGTAAGGTCAACAGAAACGCATTCGCTCCATCTGTGCTAGACTCTGCGAGGGACTGGTTACTGGCGGTTGATCTGCCAGGCCATGAACGGTACCCCGAGTTGATCCGGAAGACCGGTCTGCGACCTGACATAGTCCTCCACTCTGCGCAAAAACGGCAGATCATCCTGATAGAGCTCACCGTCCCGTATGAGTCGCGTATGGATGAAAATCACCTGTATAAGCTCGAGAAATACAGTGATTTAGCAGCCGGTCTGGGGAGAAACGAGGCGTATACGGTACGGGTATTTACCGTCGAAGTGGGAGAGAGAGGCCTCGTTTACACTTCGCTCTACATCTGGTGAAAGAACTAGGATTGCGCGGTAATGAACGGAAACGAACACTAAAAAAACTGGGAGAGGTAGCCGAAAGGGGCTCTAGTTGGCTTTGGACGCAACGCAACAACGTAGGGGACAGGCCTCGGTGAGCTGGTCCGGGTCTCTAGTGGAAAAGGGTTTCTCACCCTTTGAAAGTCCATCGTGTCCGAATTGTCTGCCAGTGTTCCTCTGCCACCTGCTAACAAAAGTCCAACATGTGTCCGGTAAACCAAACGTAAGCTTGTCGCTCGGTCGTCCAGGCACGCTGACTGTACTAATTAGGCTGCCGCGACGACTTCTTATCTCACAGTACCTTCTGCAAACCACCAAGTCGTCTTGTCTCTATCCGAAAGAAAAACACCATCTGGTTATTTCGTGCAGCAGGGAACCAGCCCTGAGCTTCATGAACTCAGGTGGGCCAACCTCCGAAAGCGTCTAGGAATAGTGGGCAGAAACACTCATTGACGAGGATAATTTCTACTGACGACTGGTAGATCCCTGCTGTACTTGCTCCCTGTGAGTTTATTCCTATTGACTAGGTTATGTTTATGTGCACCATAATAAATGGCTTAGCACAGCTCGCCACCAAGAACCCTGAAAAAGACTCCTGTAGTACTGATGTGATCAAAGGAGACAAATCTAAATGTTGTCCCAATCGGCGACAAAGTCATCTACCGCCTAGCCAATGGGCGAATCAGTGGTTAAAATCTTATTTTTGTGTACCATGGGGTGACAGTTATTCTCAGGCTTAGGAAACAGGGAAAAAGGTTTATTTTTGAAGATTCTTATAAAATATGAAAAATTTGTCAAATTTTCTGACTCACTAAAGGAAAGTTGCTCACAAACAAGTCAAATTAAAAGCAAACCAATTTAATTCATTAACTTCTCCTCCTTTCCCATCATCGCCTAAGGAACGTAAGCCTTCCACCATCTCATGCCAAGTATTCCTACCCTTCTTCATCACAAGAAGATCACTCCATATCGTCTACATCTGATTTAATTAATATGTCACTAATTCCCTGTTAATCTGGTTTCCTATTATATCTTTGGCATCGTATACTGCAGCAAACGGTTAAGAACGCTGGACTCTCAAGAGGAACATCCAGGTTTGAATCTTCGTGAGGCTGGGGATTTTTTTCTGTCGGGGGAGCCCAAAAAAAAAAAAATTATCGGCCCATGACAACAGCACTAACCATAGGGCCCTAAATCTTTAGGCTTAAAGACCACCCCCCCCCCCCACCCCCACAGCCTACACTGTAAAAGTGGTAAATACAAGCAGTAACGGCAGTGGGGTTTCTTTCCAGTACCAACTCAGTGTGCTTCCAGGTTTATTCCCAGTTGTGACAACATTTGCTTAAACCAGTACTGTTCTCAGACGTTACAGACCTGCTGTCTGCAAACATGCCTCCAACCACCAGAATCAACAAACAGCTATGGCGTATCTATAAACAGTCCATCTGAGAAATATCCTGTGCTCTCGACAGGCAACCCATTGCTCCGAAAGAGACTAAGCCCCACGTGAGATCAAACTGAGTCCAGTGAGGTCTCACACCTTTAAAAGTTGTTGCTCTAAAAAAAAAAGTCTACTTCTTTCTTTCTTTTAGGGAATAACACTTGTCGGTCAATTTCACGATACTCTCCCCATGGACCGCGCATATACACACTAGCTCACTTCAGTCCCCCCAACCTTCGCATACTGCTATGGGGGTGTTCGCCAATGCCGTTGATATCGCGTGTTGGATATTTAAGCACGCCAGCACTTATAACACCACTAAAACATTTAGAAACTGGATCTAATACACAACACCCCTTAAGAGTGCTGCAACCTATGTCACAGGCATTCTCTTTCTCGGAAGAAAAACGTGAATACAAGACAAGCCAGAAAGGAAACAATATAGCGGCAACCAGTAACTCCCGGACAGCAGACCAGCCTAAAAAATTTATTAGCGGAACATGACGTAGTTTGGTTGGGGAGTTTATCGTACATCTGACCAACTTTTCATTAGAAATACACAAATAAGCTAGTAACATGATACATATGAAGAAGAAAATAAAAACATCAGGAAAACAATTCAAGGAAATTATTTTCAAAATAAAAAATTTTTAAATTAACAATAACTGTCTTCAACCAACCATACTCCCTGTGTGGGTTCCAGGGCCCCATAGTGGGGGGGAAAAACCAGAACTGACTCACTGCCTCCCCAACAAGCATGCCATGTGAGTCAACTAACTGGGGGTTTCCTTCAAAGTCAGAGTGCATCTGCCTGAGAGGCAAGGAACCAACAGTCTGCATACATATAAGTTGGATTTGTAAAATGGATGTGCACACAACACTCAGGTTCCGTAACAAGACTAAGTATAAAGGCGAATGGGCAACCAGAACTTTCTGCCTGAGTTTACAGCCAGGGACTGCGAAGAAGAAGAAGAACCAACCAAATGCACAGTGAAACAATTATTAAAACAAAAATATTTCTTGAGAAAATTCAAAGATAAGAAAACATACTTCGAATATGATGGACTGGTTGTTTTTCTTGAGATAAAAGGCAAATACGTAAGTGTACATAAGGGTCTGTCTGCATAGACACAGAACATCTACTGCCTTCTTGAGGAACTGCACTTCAATCCACGACATATTGTGCTGCTGCATCTCCTCCATCTTTGTCTTGATGGACTGATATAGCTTGAAAAGAGAAAAATGGAAGCAGCGTTAAATCTGTGGCTTGTGAGGCTAAACAAGACAGTGAGTATTCAAAAAATGGTTCCGTGGAATTAGGATGCACTGAAGATATAGTGTATGCTCCTATCTCTAAAATGACTTTTAAAGATCAATCCAGTTTATACAGGGTCATCTAGAATGATTGCCAGCCTTAACTGTTATTATAAAAGAACTCTTTAGCAAAAGAGAAATTGGCGGATGAAAATTGCTGTTTACCGCTCTACCTACCTGCCAGTCTTGACCTATGGGTGTGAGTCATGGGTAATGACAACAGCTCACAGAAGCCAGCTTCAGGCCTCAGAAATTAGATATCTGAGAAAGGTGGTCCAAGTGACAAGAAGGGACAAAGTACACAATCAGACAATACACCAAGATATTGATACCCAGTTCTTACAAACCCAAGTGGATCTGTCAGTTTTGATGGTTTGGATGTATGCAGAATGGGAGAAAATCTGCAAACATGGCAGGCATGGAAGTCTAAGAACCTGGGAACCAGACCTTCAGGGCGACTCAGAATCTGCTGGGAAGACAAAATCCTACAGTTCTTGACTGACAGAGGACTGGAATGGAACAAAGCCAAAAAGAAAACTGCTGATAGAGATGTCTGGCAATCTCTCTGGCAAACCTCTACACCCCAAGGTAGAAGAGGAGTGACTAAGTAAGTAAGTAAGTAAGAAAATATTATAAAAGTATTTAATGGAAAGATACATGTAGCATCTTAAAATGTTCAGAAAAGTTTAAAGCTTTATGACCACAAGGCTCAAAACATTGCTGAGAAGATAAGGGACATCCAGCATACTAAGACAATTGTAACTCTGGACACAATTCATAAGACATGGCAGGAGACTGAATAGCATGACCAGTCCGGCTTCGTCCGGACCTGAACCCACGACTTTCCAATCCAAATGAGAACGTCTAGCCGCTACAACATGGCAGCTATAACAATTATCTGTATGTATAAAAGGTACCTTGAAATACTCTGAGAATTAAAAGTGGCCAACTGTGATAGTGATCACAGTATCCAATGAGAACTGTTTGATCTAGGAAAGAAACAAAAAGAGCCAGAAATATATACCCACTATTCAACAAGATGTGAGGCATGGTTCCTTTACTTATGTTAATATTTCAAAGTGCTGATTTATATCCAGGAGAAGAATGCTTTTTAAGAAACATAACATTACATTTTATCCTTGATCTCTGAATACCAGATTGAACGCCTAGTCTTCTACACACATTTTTTTTTTAGTAGGTGTCTGTGTCTCTCCAAATTTGGAAATTACAAGAATGAGATTGAGGGTTGACAAGTTTCAGTCTGAATCGTAAAATATAAATGTTAAAAAACACCAACACTCTATAGAATATTTATAGTATGTGTGAAGTGAAGAAAAGTAACTCCACTTCATAACCTGCTTAAAGTCAGGTATGTCAATGGACAGATAGAAAATTGCCGTTTAGTCGTAAACATCAATACTTCAAAGCCCACTTTCCCTCTTGCAAATCTGAACAACATTTTTAGTTCAGATCTGTGCAATCAAAAAGACACTGCAATGAGATTCTGAGTGTGGTTCAACATTTTATTAAAGAATGACCTAACATATGCTCAAACTTGAGACTGCACATGGTTCAACTTCTTACTAAAGAATGACCTACCATATGTTCAAACTTGAGACTGCATGTGGTTCAACTTCTTACTAAAGAATGACCTACCATATGTTCAAACTTGAGACACATGTGGTTCAACCTCTAACTAAAGAATGACCTACCATACGATCAAACTTCAGACGTTTTACTAAAGATCGACCTTCTGCATGCTCAAATTTGAGACTGCATGTGGTTCAAATTTTTAGTACAGAATGACCTACCATATGCTCAAACTTGAGACTCTGCATGTGGTTCATGTACCTGTTGCAGTAGAACAGATACCGCTGCAGCGCTGCACGAGATCTCTGCAATTGAAAAGGCAACTGAATATAACAGATGAAAGTCAAGTTTCTGGAGAAAAGAAATGCATCAGGCTCAGCCTGAACAGCAGACAAATGGAAAAACACAAACTACTTTCTGGAGAAAAGAAATGCATCAGGCTCAGCCTGAACAGCAGACAAATGGAAAAACACAAACTACTTTCTGGAGAAAAGAAATGCATCAGGCTCAGCCTGAACAGCAGACAAATGGAAAAACACAAACTACTTTCTGGAGAAAAGAAATGCATTAGGCTCAGATTGAACAGCAGACAAATGGAAAAACACAAACTACTTTCTGGAGAAAAGAAATGCATCAGGCTCAGATTGAACAGCAGACAAATGGAAAAACACAAACTACTTTCTGGAGAAAAGAAATGCATCAGGCTCAGCCTGAACAGCAAACAAATGGAAAAACACACAAACTACTTTCTGGAGAAAAGAAATGCATCAGGCTCAGCCTGATTAGCAGACAAATGGAAAAACACAAATTAAAGAAAGAATATAATCATACAAAAACAGGATGTTGTGGTGTCAAGTCTTCATCAGTAAAGAACAACAAAACAAATCAACATAAAAAGATAAATGACATTTAAATAGCTATACTAAGTCATAAAAATATGCAAACATGTGAAACAAATATGCTTAAATCATTAAGTGATTTATAAGTTTCTTTTTTTCTTCTTCTTCTTCGCGTTCACCAGCTGTAAACTCTGGCAGAAGGTTCTGGTAGCTCGTCCACTACTGAACTGCAGTCCTGCTCCAGAACCTGAGTGTTGCGTGTGCATCAGTTTTACAGATCTCATTCTCTTGAATACAGACTGTTGGTTCCTTGCCTCTCCGGCAGATGCACTCCGACTTCAAAGGAAGCTCCCCAATTAGTCGACTCTTACGACATGCTTTTGGGGAGGCAGTGGGTCTATTTTTGTTTTCCCCACAATGCGGCCCCGGAACCCACAAGGGGAATATAAGTTTCTTTTAACTCAGTCCTTCCAAAGATTAAAAGTTTAATCTAAGATAGAAGACAGACTATACAGTCAGATGATGGGAGTTAGATGAATCAGTTACTGTCACATTTGATAAGGACAAGTGCACAACATGGTCAAACAAAACAAATGTTAAGAGATTAAAAGGTGGCATGAAAGGGTGATGACATAGTGAAAAGAGAAATATTACTTTTATGAAATAACCTTAACTGCAGCCTTCCTCTTTTGTGTGTGTGTTTTTTTTAAAATCAAACATTAAGGTTGCATTCACTGTGTACTGCTCCAAGGTTCATGTTTGACCTATTTTTCTCCCCCCTTTTCTATATTTTTTTCTCTTTATCCTATCTCTTCCTGTATTGTCCTTTTCCCATTCCTCTTCACTCTTGATCTTCCTCTTTCTGTCTCAAAATTGTAATATTATTTCCTTGTTGAATATGACTGTTCACAAAAACAAAAGCAGGCATCACTTCCCAACAACATAGTACTATATTTTGCTACTTCAACCTTGAACACACGTACCCCCCCCCCCCCCCCCCCCTTTTCTCTTATTTATATCTCTGAAGTCGCTGATCTAAGTATTTTTAAACATCACTCCACTCTGCAAATGTCATCTGCATTTCATATGTTTGTATCATATTATTATTAATTAATGTATCTACATTAGTGTCAGCTGTATCTTTATTTTGCACTGCTGCCATTTTCTTGATTTTTTTTTTTAAACTGCTATTCCTTACTTCTGTTTTCCTCCTCTGAGCAGCTACCTGAAAGTTTAAACACCCTGAGATAACAAAATCTTAATCTGGATAACAAGCCAGCAGGCAAACCCCAGATACCTCATTCAACTTCTAAAGAAGTTATAATTAGGGAACTGATAATGGTTACTGCAGGAAAGGATAACAATACTGTAACTGATATTTACTGATAACAACTATGACACAGTGCCAATGATATGTTGCTGTTAAATCTGCAGTATGCACCAGACAAGATGCATCAAGAAAATTATATATTTATTAGCATTCAAGATGTGAACACAACTTCTAGAGACTCCACAATTTGAAACTCTGCCTGATATATTACTATCTGCACATTGCTCACCTCTTGGCTATCTCTGGCCTTCTTAGCATCATCTTCATTGTACCTGTTACAGTTATACCTGAGGAGAGATTTGCATCTTGTAGTTATACCTGAATAAAGGATTGTGCATATTACAGCTGTTACAGCTATGACTGACAAATTATTTTACCTGTTACATTTGGTTTTAAAAAAATGTCCCTTTACAGTTACACCCCAAGATAGGATTGTATTTTTTATAGCTGCTACAGTTAAAGCAAGAGGGTGCTAAAATGTTACACAGAACCTGTTCTGCTGTTTGGCAGCCAATCTTGGAATGTCAGTGAACAAATTAAAAATAATTTGGAGGCAACAGAGATGTGGTTTTTTGAGAGGAATGTTGCAAATACCTTGGAAGGCCAGAATAACTACCAACGATTAGTTGAAAGAAGCTAATGGAAGTAGATCTCTATATACAACAATAAGAAAGAGATAAACTGTACTTTGGCCACAAAATTAGAAGAGAGACATTGGAGAACATCGTGACAACATTAAAGATCAGTGGAAAAAGGGGTAGAGGCAGGGTAGAGATGATGCTGGATGGGCTGAAACGATGGTATGGAGGGATATTACCAAGACAGCTGTTCCAGGCAACCAGGGATTGTGATCTGTGGAGGCACATGAACGCATATGCCAGTTGGCAGGGCACATGATGATGATGATAGTGAAAGCTAAGGCATCCCTCTGACAATTAAAACTGAAGAAAGGATTGTACTTGATACAGTCAGACCCCAAGAAAGAATGTTAAGTTACAATTCAAGCTAAAGTAAGCCAATTATACCTAAATAAAGGAAAGATACTATTTGATAGTTATGTCCATAAAAGAATTGTATTTCTTTATAAAGCACATATTTACAAATTCTGCGCTGATTTTAACAAAGCAATTAAGCGCTGGCTGGTCAGAAAGCAATGGCAAACTACTGAATGGGAAACTGCCTAGTACAACCATATACAGCCAACAAATCCTAGTGTTGAATGTTGAATTAAGAATCAACATCACAGCACTCGGGACACTGCCGTAAGTGGTCCAACCCCCCATCTTCAGCAGCAAGCAAAGAGTTCCCATTCTGATGGCACCAGTAACCCTCTGATTGCATCTCCATCTCATCCTTCCCCTGACTGTTGAGCGACAGCCATGTCCCCTAGTACCTCTCGCAGCACCATTCTCCTCAGACCGTAATGATCTATCTGTGCCTCCTCACTGTTCATTTGCTCCCAAAGGGCCCTTACAATACCTAGCTAATACCAGTGTTGGTTTAAAACAGTGATCTTCAACCGTTTTATACCAGAGGGAAAATTCTTTTGCGGACCACGTGGCAGCTAAAAATAAAACAGAAACAAAACCACATGCAGATAGAATTTGTTGAACCCCATGTCACAAAGTTACAAGAGAGGGAGGTAGGGAGGGAGAGAGGGAGACAGAGACAGAGAGAGAGAGAGAGAGAGAGAGAGAGAGAGAGAGAGAGAGAGAGAGAGAGAGAGAGAGAGAGAGAGAGAGAGAGAGAGAGAGAGAGAGAGAGAGAGATACAAATGAACTTTACTCAGACAGAGTCAGGACATGAAGGCCCCTCCATCTCTTAATCGTACATTCCAAACGCTCACCTTTCAACCGCAGTTGTATTTTATCTTTAAAGCATGTTATGCTCATAGAATAATATACATAATACACCTTTCAAGTAAATTACACAAAAGCATGAAGAGCCAGCATGGTAAATGCATAAACTCAAATATACATAGATACCACATACAAGCATACATACAAACATACATACACACTCTCATACACGTTCATACATACATACATTAAAAAAAATGAATGACAAGAGAGAGAGAGAGAAAGACAGACAGACAGACAGAAAGAAAGAAAGAAAGAAAGAAAGAAAGAAAGAAAGAAAGAAAGAAAGAAAGAAAGAAAGAAAGAAAGAAAGAAAGAAAGAAAGAAAGAAAGAAAGAAAGAAAGAAAGAAAGAAAGAAAGAAAGAAAGAAAGAAAGAAAGAAAGAAAGAAAGAAAGAAAGAAAGAAAGAAAGAAAGAAAGAAAGAAAGAAAGAAAGAAACTGAGGTACACACACACAGACACAGTACACAATGAAAGAAAATGTAAACCCAACCATGAAGAGCCATGGGGCTCCCAGGGCCCAAGACAAACCCAGCAGAAGTCTGCTTTGCAGTTCTGATTTTTACAGACCATGTGGTTGCAGCCGCCATCTTTCTCTATCGTGACGTGACACTTGGGGCATTCCTGTGGACAAAAACAATGCATGTTAAGAGCTTCATAACTTTTAAAGTGGTCTCATGCAAAGCTTGACATTTGAATTGTGCTTGCTAAAAACTCATTTAAGTGACAATCTAGACATATTCTTCTTACTGTTCACCATTTGTAAACTCTGATGAAAAGTTCTGGTTTTCGTTCGTTTCTGGACTTATTTCAGAATTTCAGTTCTGTGTGAACATCCGTTTTACAGATCTCACATTTGTATGCATACTGTTGGTTTTCCCCTTTCAGGCAGATACATTCCGACTTTGAAGGAAACACCATTAATTAGTCGATTTTAACCCTTTCGCTGCTATGGACGTCTTTTCCCGATTTCCCGTACGCTGCTACGACTGTCTTTGGACGTTATTTTTTTTCTTGACCCCCAGTGCTATGGACGTCCCTAGCCGTTTTTGGATTTTTCTTACAGATTTCTGTTACCTTGTATTCTGTTGGCTGAAGGGCAATATACATTAGCTATATTTAGATTAAACTGACCCACTTACATACGATTAAAAGCACTGGCACATGCTTTTAGGTGTGTTTAAGGTGTGTTTACTGCATTCTTCATTATCCCGTTGCTTTGTTTACCGTGACAGTGTGGTCGGTGATCTGTGTATTTTGTGCCCTGGTATATATTTGTGCTTTTGGATTATTCTATACTTAGTACAAAATGGCAAGAAAACTTGTTAAAGTTGATGAAGAATTAATGGAGTTACTGTCAAGAGGAAACTAACAGGTTCTGCAAGGAAGTAATTGAGAAGGCACCTGCCGATATAAGTTCTTCTCTTTCCTGATGGGCAGACACAGATTTGGACGAACTATTTTGTTTTTTTGCTGTCTGTCTGCTAATGCCAAGAACAAAAAAAACTAAAAATAAATGAGTACTGAAGCAAAGACTGTTTGCTAAAAACTCCCGTGTTCAGTGAAATAATGTCGAGGGACAGATTTTTAATATTGTTGAGAATGCTACATTTCTTAGACAACAGTGCTAATGTAGGCGGTGATAGACTGTACAAAATTAGACACATTATTGAGTCTGTGCACATCGTTTCAGGGTGCATTTTCACCCTTATCAGGATGTGGTTATCGATGAATCACTTCTTCTTTACAAAGGAAGATTATCTTTCAAACAGTACATTCTGTCAAAGAGAAGTAGATTTGGCGTGAAAACTTTCGTTATGTGTGATTGCAGTACAGGATACATTTTAGATTTTATAGTTTACACTGGTATCAACAGGGACATTACTGTGTCAGGTTTAGGGAAGGGGGCTGATATTGTGTCAACTTTACTGGCCCCCTATCTACAGAAAGGCCACAGACTTTATGTAGATAACTGGTACACTAGTCCGGAACTATTTATGTGGCTTTATAGTCATGCTACAAATGCTTGTGGCACTGTGCGAAAAACGAGGAAACATATGCCAAAAATGGAGGAAAAATTGAAGAAAGGAGAAATTAGCTCCAAGTCTGCTTCAAGTTTGCTAGCCATGAAATGGTCTGATAAACGTGAGTTATGGATGCTGACAACATGCCACAATTCAGATACGGTAACAACAGGGAAAACGGATTGGAAAACTGGGCTAAATATTGTGAAGCCAAAGTGTGTTGTGGACTACAACAAATGCATGGGTTCAGTAGACCGTACTGACATGGTTCTTAGTTCAATTGAGTCCATTAGAAAAACTGTGAAATGGTACAAAAAGCTTTTCCCACGTGTTAGATCTCTCAATTTTAAATGTGCATTGCTTATATAAAATTGTTGTAGGGAAAAACATTCCTGTTGCAGATTTTCACCTAGCTCTAATTAGAGAAATTCTAGGAAAATATTGTAAAGAACAGAGAAAGAGTGTAGGAGGACGAAGGAATGAAGATCTGCCACTACGGTTGGTGCAAAGACATTTCCTTTCAACAATAGTCCAAAACACCACAGAAGAAAGGCCCAGCAAGAAAGTGTGTGGTATGCGCAAAAAGCAAAAAGCGACGAGAAACCAGATACATGTGTAAGGACTGTGATGTGGCACTGTGTGTTGTACCTTGCTTTGAAATAGTACTTTGTGTTTGATTTGTAAGTTTCTAGTGTTTCCTTTTTGTAAAGGGGAGGTTATTTAAAATTATTACTTTCTATATTATAAAACTCTGCTGTATGTGCCTCTGGGCGTGATGAGGATTGATTGTCGATACTAAACAACAGACGATGCACCTTAGAATCGGAAGGTCTTGTGTTCAACCCCCAGCTTGAAATTTTTTTTTTTTTTGGTTGGTGCGAATTTTCCTTTCAGTTCTTGCCACTCTCAGCAACGGATGACTAAGGTATTATTTTTTTTTTTTTAACCGTGACTACAATTAACTGTGATTAAAGTTTGAGCCGTGGTAGGTTCGTCAATCAAATTTTGGGATAGGGACTGGGAACGATTCTTTCCATTTCCCCCACTCGTAGCTTCGTCAGCCAAGCTTGTGGGGCACCACTGTACCTCTCTGACTTGTCACCACTTGGGCCAATCACAAAACTCCCTAGGGTAAAAAAATTTTAGGTGTACAAAATATAGCCCTCACCGCCGACGCATCTTTCGCGTTTGGAGGATAGAAAAGTATTGTGCACAGCAGAGACTTTTTTTTTCCACATTGCTTAGCACAGGGAAGACAGCTATCGCCGGGAATGTAGCACCGAAAGGGTTAACTGCATGCAGTACCCCCCCACCAGGACCCGGAAAGGAACCCATATAGATAACAATCTAAATTCAAAATTAACAGTACGTAATATTTTATTTTTTACCCTGAGCGCATTAGCCAAACTACTTCGTTACTTCAAATATTTATGTTTTGGCTGTTACTTTAAATCCAGCCATTGCCAGTCCAAGGCCCGGATGAGACAAGAGGTGGGTTGGCCCCCCCCCCCCCCCCCCCCCCCCCCCGTAAAAATGTTTGCTACACAAAAACTTTCAGAATAGGATGTTATGCCTGTAAACAAATGAGTTTAGTGGTGTATGGTACACACAGTACATATGTGACGGTTATTGAGAGTGAAATGAATTCAAGAGTGAAGAAATAAAAGAAATGTCTGGACAACCACTAGTATCAACAGTTGTAAGATAGTGAAGACGCTGCTATACTGGACATCATCTGAGAAGAGTCGAACACAGAATTACCAAACAAGCACTGAAATGAGAAACAGAGGGCTTGAGGATGTCCAAGAGAAATTCTAAGGTGAACGATGAGAGAAGCCAAAAATGCTGAAGTGTATTCCATCCATGATAATGAAGTAATCGCATGCAGGATAGAAAGGAATGAAGAAATGGACTGTGAGTCCTATGTCTCATATAATGGCGTAACAGGACAAAAAGATGTTACTTCAAATACTAATGTTCTGGAGGTTACTTTCAAAATTTATATTCT